CAGAAAGAAGTAACTATTTCCCAGTATACTTAAAGTATATTGATAAAAATTTACAAATGAATTGCAAGTTATCTTAAGACCATTTATAAATTGTAAAAAACTTGTAAGGGTTATGTGAGTTGAAACAAATTGACCTCAGTTCTTATACACTTTGTTTTACTTTTGATTCTTATTGTAGTAATTGCTGTAGTTAGATTAATTATATGGTTTAAGGGTGAACTGTTCTTTGCTTAAAATTGTTAGAAGTACAAAAAACATCTTCATTTTTGAAATAAAATAGCTCTCATACAAGTGCATGCAAAATACTGTCAAGATTTTATGTAATAAAATCCAAACTACTGAATAAAGCAACAATGTTATTAAGTTTTAGGAGGGAGTTATAAGTGAACAGTGGATACTACTGGCTAAACAGCAAGGCTGTATATAATCAAATAGTAGTGCTATATGGAACAATTTCATTTATAATAATGAAGTAAAAATTAGTTAAATTTTAAGTTGTACTTGATAGATCCATGTGTTACTGAATTGGGAATAATGATATATATTGATTCTTTAAGAGAGTGTTGAAGATGATCATTTTTTAATCTTTTTTTTTTTTAGAGTGAAAAACGAAGTTCTAATTTCATGTACTTGATGGTTGAGTTTCGATGTGTCAAGTGCGATGATAAGGAATATGGTATTGTTTATTATGAAAAGGTACTTGTCTTGGAACTGTTTATGGTCTCTAAAGTAAAGGGGAGGGGAACCATTTAAAAAAATTACTGTTGTTCCCACTGAGATGAATTATTTGGTTGCAAGATGGCAGTGGACAGCTGTTAGCAGCAGCTGTTTATCTATGCACAAATCAAATCATATAGCTACAACAAGATTACAAAAGCCGATCATTCATGTAATGCAGTTTTGGGTCATGGAATTCAATAAATATGCAAGAGATTAAAAACTTTTTGATTAATTGTTCTGCAGATTGTCACATAAGACATTAAAGCAATAGCTTTATTAACAATTAGAATTCATTTGAAAAATAAAAAAGGAATCACTTTTTAAATGGTAATTTGTTTAAAGTTAAGGATGTGTTTGTTACTTGAGTGACCCTAACATAAGTATGCGTGTGACAGACTTTTCACATCTGCGTTTATTTATATAATATATTCAGAATTAAGAAAATTGTGTTATCAGTAGGCTGAGTAATAACACGTATGCAGTTCTGGATTTTTTCTGGTCTGCTCATAATGTGGAAGAAAGTAGAATAGTAGAATATGTTTGACACAGGAAACATACCTGTGCCTTTTGCTTGTTGAAGGGTCTCCATTTAAGTACTCAGAAATAATTCTATGCATAGTTCAGAAACCACACAAATCAGGTACTTTCTATTATTGTAGAAATACTTAGACAAATGTGTAAAATCAGTGTGAATGAGGGCGGACTTTTGATACATGGAATAA